ATTTGTAGACGTATCCCAATGAATTATTGTAATTCAGGAGACGTATTCCAATAAATTGATTTGATTTGTAGACGTATCCCAATGAATTATTGTAATTCAGGAGACGTATTCCAATCAATTGATTTGATTTGTAGACGTATCCCAATGAATTATTGTAATTCAGGGGACGTATTCCAATCAATTGATTTGATTTGTAGACGTATCCCAATGAGTTATTGTAATTCAGGAGACGTATTCCAATCATTTGATTTGTAGACGTATCCCAATGAATTATTATAATTCAGGAGATGTATTCCAATCAATTGATTTGATTTGTAGACATATCCCAATGAATTAACGTGATTCTGATCAGTAGACGTATCCAATCAATTAATATGATTTGTAGACGTAATACAATGAATTAATGTGACTAGATCGTTATATCGAATACTGTTCTATGAACAATTATTTACATATTTACAATAAATTATAAGGAAATTACGTCTCCGGAAACCCTTATCTTTAATTCGTTCTACAGGAATTGGTTATGGATTGATTGTGAGTCCTGCATTGGGTATCATTCCATTCTTTATCAAGAAAAGATATGCTTTAGCGAATGCATTATCGATTGCAGGAGCCGGGACGGGAACCTTTATACTCGTTGCTCTTATTCAGTTTCTGATTGACAGGTATGGATGGAGAGGAGCGTTCATGGTATTCTCAGCTGTAAACGCTCATATGTTCATATCTGGATCTCTCTTCAAAGCACCACCCACGCACAGGATAAATACCTCTGATGTAATCGTTGAACGTCAACACAGAACTCGTGGAAGAAAATGCTCTCCACTACTGATAATGATCAAAGCTTTAGACCTGACTTTATTTTCCCGTTTTCCTCTATTTACTTTGATGACTGTGGGTTCAGGCATCGGTATTGGAATGGGTAATATTGGAACACCTTCATTTATTAGCTTATACACAGAAAACCTCAATCTTGCCGAACCCAGCAAACTCGCACTGCTGGTTTCTATTCTAGCAGGCGTTGGTATAATCGGAAGGCTTGTACCACCAGTCATTCTTCACTGTAGTTGCAAGTGCCTTACCAGTTTTCGGTTTTTCGCTATTAGCATACTATTAGCCGGCATATCGACACTGCTCAGTCCCCTTTTAACAATGAGTTATGGAATCTATGTCATTTATCCAACTCTCCTGGGTCTGTTGAGTGGGATGTTCTTCACACTCTTTTCCCAGGTGATTAAGGATATCACTGGAGGACCAAACGTTACTGCTGGTGTAGCTTTGGGTACGATGGCGATAGGTGTTGGCGCGCTTATTGGTCCAACTGTAGCAGGTAAGTTGGATTGTATCATCAAAACGTGGTGTCAATCATAGATTTGTGAACAAAGGTCATATAGCAAACACAATTGACAAACAAGAACAAAACAAAAACCAACAAACTGAGGAGAATATATATGGACTCCATGGTATACTAAGTACATTTTGGAAAGAAGTTATTTTGAAAAGAGTGGGCACACTGCTCTATGCGTATCGCCCGTCGTATATCTTTCTTAGCATAAAGCCATAGTGGTTTCGAATGGAATCTGATATCTGCATAAGACAAGTGACATTGATGCCATTTGATATCATCTTTCTGACAGTTTTATTTTGTTTAACTACAATCTCATAGTTATGTCATGAATTTGTTTTTGCGTATCTGTTAACCGACTTAATTAGCTGACTACGAGCGAATTGCTGTGTTATGTCTGTCATCGTTTAGGCCTATTTGAAGTTTTGGACGGAACTTGGCTCAGTGATTTGGAACTAATTACCAGATAACCGTCGCGATTCTGACAGTTTATATCCATAGTTATTAATGTAGTGAACGATTAATCAAAAGATATGACGTATTCAGTACTTAGTGTGATTGGCTTTATGATTGAAGGTTACGCCCTAGAGTCTTTTACTGTTTTGTAATTGGTTAGAGTTTTGAAAATGAATAAAGAGAGTTTGAGTTGGTCTTGGCGAATACTGCACAAAAGACGCAGTCGAGAGTCCAGTCCAGGGGCGAGCCTTGAGGCAGTCCAGTCTTGGGCGAGTCTTGGTTCAGCCTTGTGAGAGTCTTGGGGACTTTTCCCCAGGGCGTTGTGTCTAATAGAGTGCTCGATTGACCGACTAAGACGAGAGCTGAAACGTATTTCGTTGTGTGTGTCTTATTTGACTGTAAAGTTAAAGTGACTTTCCCGATCCCGTACCTCAAGGGAACGAGATAGAGAGACAAGACGAGTTTTCCCCCTGACAAGTGTGGAGAACCCGAGAGTAGAGATTTTACCCCTGATAGTTAACACACACAAAAATGAGTGTGAATGTTAGAGCCAGTCGTTATATTCAAAACTCTTGGTTTTATTTTGATGAAAGAAAACAATGTTTATTTAATAGTCTGCAAATGTGCGACAAACCCTTGCACACCGAATGAGCTGGAATACGCATACCCCATGGGTAGGACAGAGTGGAATATTGCTGTAAAGATGTTGAACATTTGTTATAGTAAAACTATAATCATCTCTTCAGTCATATAGTCAGTAATTATAATTGGCAATTGCTCTTAAATGTCATTGATTTGATTTACTATTAATATGTGGTTTAACGTTGATTATCTTGTAGGTGTGATATACGATACATCCCGTGACTACCAATTCTCGTTTTATTTCTTTGGATCCTGTATGGTATTTGCTGGTCTTATCATGCTAACATTGGAACCATATGCCACACTAAGACAGCACAAACTACAAAGGCATGAAGAGAACAACCTGGCATTTCCTGAAGGCGATTTACACTCTCGAACTATTGGGGTATATCGTGACGTTGTTGCATAGACCATGTTGGTTCAATAAAACGTTCTTTTTGAAAGGAAGTAACATGCGGTTGGCGTAGGGTAGAAATCAGCAATAATCAAAAGCATGTTTCCTAACAAAATGAGGCCGATCACATTGACGTTTAAAAAACTTATAAACGAATTGTTCCTGATTTTGCGCTACGTTGTGGTATTTATAGGACACTGTACGCTCGTATTACATCATGAATGGCCACGGACGAGGATAAACAACATGGCGGATTTGATTCATGTTCTCCGACCAAACACTCAAAGGGCACTAAATTGTGCAAATAGTATTTTAGTCTTGGATCTGAAATATAGGACTTACTGGTATAAATGTGTATGTGAATCGAAACTGTTTTTAATAATTAAAACAATGTTGTATTCAACGTTTTATATATATAATCACTGAATCACTGACAGTTTCTGATGTGTGTCGCATACGACTTGTTTACCACTTCCGTGTGACTGAGAATGTTCTAGATTTTGTTTAGAAGTTGGTTGAATAGGTAATAGGACACTGTAGAAGGCAATAGAAGGTAATGGAACATTCTAGAAATTTGTAGTAAGTTCCAGACTCATTATGTATGCTGATGTAATGGTCTATTTATAGACAGTGTGGGTATATATAGGGGAGTTGTTCAGCACTGAGATCAGATCGGAGAGCTCGTTGAATTGTATTGGAGTTTAAGTATCTAGTTATTGGAGTAGTGGAGTTCTACCGCGTTATTGTACTTGATGTTTGCAGAGTATAATAATACCAGTACCAGTTGAAACCTCATCAGTTGACTCCGTGTTCGTATGTTATCATCGCCGCCAGGGAAGTCTTTGTGTTACTGTTGCCATTTTGGTATTTGAACCATCACACCTGTACTATACCAATTACGGTATTATTACGTTGCGTGTGACAATGTGAATGAAAGGGACCTGATGCGAGCGCTATATCAGATCCATTTCTATTCTGATGACAATGTTTGTACTCTAATAACGTCTGCCATTACTGCTCTTCTATCTCAGTACATCAGTGTTATTATTTTAGACTACAGTGTTACATAGTCGATTACATTCCATCGAAACCCCAAAAAATTAACATTCCTACACAAAGCATTATGCATTAAAGTGTTCCCAATATGCTCCCCATACTTTTGACAGTTTGATCACGTTTGTTATTCAGAAACCCTCAAGAATTTTTTACTTGCGATAATACGAAATGTAAATACAAGTCAATGACAATTTTTCATGACCATGGCTGAATTAGGCCGAAATGTATACCTTTGCGAGGGGGGGATGAATGGATTAAGAACTTAGTAAACTATTTCTTTAGCAAAACCGTTAAGCTGTGTAGCCTGGACGGATTTTCATGCTCTCTGCACATGCTAATTTTTGGGGATGCCCGGTGGCCGCGAGGAAAACGTGAAGCTAGGCGCCGTACGTGAGCACCGGTTCGAGTCACGCATGCAGTACGTGTTTACTATTATTTGACTAGTATTCACCATGTCGTTTGTTCGGTCTTATTTGCTTACTTTAGTTTCTATGTCAGCAGCAACTATGAGTTTACAATTATTTCTCAGTTATTTCACATGTTTTATCTGCAAAACGTTGTTATCTAGTAAGTAGTAAGTTTTCTAGTAAGTAGCTAAGGTTATATGCTTATAGTTAATACTTAATCAATCCCATACCTTTCCAATTTGCTTTGTTGATACTAACAAGCATTACTTTAGTTTTACTTTCATTAGGAAATACTGCGAATGAAGATTTATCCGGAGATTTATGAACTAAAAGAAAATGATCAGCATACATGACTCAACAAGAGTCTTTCTAATTCAACAGGAGATCATTATCGAAAATAGAAAACAAGTAAAGGACCCCGAATGGGGCATTGAGGGACGCAAATTAAAATTTCGCTGACCTGGGACATTTTATAAAAATAATTCCCAACATCTTTTCTTTTTAAAAATATAAGACTTTAACCATTCTATGGCAGGTACTCCTACACAATGAATACATAACTAGCGTAATAAAATCTTTTGAGAGATCTGGTGATCTAGACAGGAAGTACCAAATATTTGTCTTGTGTCCCATGTTATCAAGAAGCTAGTTGGAAATATCCATCAGCGAAGCAAGCTAGACTGGTTTTCTAATATTAGGTTCAGTTCGGAAGGACATGATTACACGTTAGCATATGTTCCAATAATCTAGATAGCAGACAAAACTTTACTTTGTTCATTAATATTACGGAGCAATGCGAGCACATTTCAAAATATCAGTAAAGTTGAAAAACGAATGAGAAATTAATAATTCAAATAGGATATTCAAAAATAACACAAAGTAATTTTGTATTGATATATTAATAACTTCTACTAGCTTAACGACCTTATTTTGGTTTCTCCTTCTATTAAGGGTTTGAATTTTCTTGTAAAGAAGTGTGCGAAATATGCTAATGAATTTGATATTTTATTTAATTCTAAGAGATATGTCTGTATGTATAATTTACCGCCCCAGTGTGGCATTTAACGAGTTCCCAGTGTTTATCTTAATGGCAAGCCACTAAAATTTGTTAGTCAGTATTGTTATTTAGGATATCAGTCTACCCAGGACGGAAAAGACAGTATTTGTATGAGAAAACAAATACGTGGATTGTTTGCTCGAGCCAACACAAAGTAATTTTGTATTGATATATTTATAACTTCTACTAGCTTAACACCATACTGAGATTAAATAACAAGTATATACTATTTGCATGGACATGGAATATTTAGCCAGTGTCAATATAATTCATTTAATTTGCTATTCCTGATAGACGGTAGTTCTACAATACCATAACAGAAATAGTTGCCCCAACGCAAGGTCTGAACGCATAAACACCCTCAAGTGCACACTAAGGCGTATCGATCGTTTCTACGCAGAGATTCCTGAAAGTCTTCAGAGCTCTGTTCAGATCTATATACTGTCTGGAAAGATTTGGTCACCAACACTATTGACTAGTTGCAAAATGTTAAGGTGACATTGCCTTTGTTGGTCGGGAAATATATATCCAATATGGAAATATTGTACAATCACAACATACTCTCCGAGTCATGGTACAATGGTCGTATCGCGTCACGTGATTTACTTATGAAAGGCAACATGGCAATTTGACACAAACCCCAACTCCTCGGCGCTCTGAACTCAACCACTCGGGTTTTCATGACTGTCTGAAATATACGGATTTGATGGTACTAGCAGCCAATAGACGACATGGTGACGATGTTTAATGCAGTCTCAGATGAACAAACCAGTCGTGATCAGTCGCAGTCAACTGAGTAAATGGCTGACAACGACTCAGGTCAAGATGGTGGGTGTTCCGGTTGGCTCGTCGTTCTGGGGTCCCATATTTGCGCGATGTTTGTATTCGGCGTATATCAGTCTATAGGACCAATGTTTGTGGCATTGCAACACTACTTCAATGCCTCGTCTGCAAGCACATCAGCGATATTGTCACTATCACTTTTTCTACAAATGGGGATGGGTAAGTAGAAATGCGGAATTAGTTTGACCTCGATGAGGTTTCTTGAAGTGCGTAAGTAAGGACAAAGTGTCATTCACTAGAGTAGCGGACAATGACCTTTCGTCCTTGAGGATATACTGTGTTGTTGCATTCTCCTATTAACGGCACAGAAGGTTACAGAAATGTGATACGCTCTGATGATGCGCATATTAAAATGGTGAAGACGGTTTAAAATAAATTCTGCACATGGAATATCTATTATATGGTTTCATTTGGGTAAATAAAGTCTCATTGAAACATATGTGAATTGCCGAAAATAAATGTAAAAAAATAGACTGCTATAGAACTTTCCAGCTGACTTACTAGAACACTAGTCAGAGTTGTTAATTTTAACATCAAGTTAGGTGACTTTCCCAGGAATGTTACGGTGAAAATTATGAACACATTGTAAAATTCGGCCGCACTTCAATGGCCACATTCCTGGAAACCCTCTGGGCGAATAACAAAAAACGTTTTCACCCATCGTCTCTTCCAAAATATTATCTTTGGTTATCCCTCTGTCTATTTAGGAACGCAATGACAAAAATGACACGCCAGAAATTAATCCACAAAGATTGTATCTTTATTCCTAAAATATATAAAACTACTACGCAAACACAAATTAAATTATGAATGGACATAGACAAAAGAACGGATTGAATCGGCTAAGAAAAGGTAGGGAGACGAGAGGAGACGAAGGAAGGTAATTGGTATCTCGCCACGCCTTAGAGAGGTCACCTGAATTTAACTCTCCTTGATATCAGGAGAAACTCTGGTTAAAGGTCGTTGATATCACTAAATTACGCTTAAAATATAAAACTATTGTGTGTTTCCGTATTCCGTGCAATTTATTCGCGAGAAACCCCTAGTTTACCCCGAACCGCCTATTGCTCTATCGAATAATCTCCCATATACTATGCACTGAGCCAAAAATGACTCGCCCAAACTGAAGTGTGCGATAAAGGGCCAAATTTGAGATTAAAAACGTAATTTAAATTTAAAAAGTGAATACAATTAGTTAATCTATAGCAGACTTAACAAAAACGACACCCCAACAGGAATAATAATGTGGGCAATAGTCGTGATAGTATTTAAAATTTTGTATTTTTGTTTTATATTTTATTGGCAACATTACAACATAGGGATTACATTACACAGTTGGATACATTCATTCATTAATTATTTCTAGTAGAGTAATCCATTTCCCACAATACACCTCTAGTTTGTGTGGTTCATTTGCTATCTCATACTCAAGATGATAGTTTGACTTGACCCAAAATTTCAAGAGTGGAAAATAAGGTTTGTCTTTCTTCATCTTTGTTGAATAGATGTGACGTTTAGAAATTAACAGTAAATGGTTATAAATCACTGAGTAAGAAGTTTTTCCAAATATAACATCAATTTTGTATTTGTTATTATTCACAGGGCCAATAGCAAATGTGTCTGTAAAGAAGATTGGATTCCGGGCAACAGTTATGGCAGGAGCATTGATATCATCTATTGGTTTCTTCAGTAGTTCATTTGCCCCCAGTATAAGTGTTCTATACCTGACCTATGGAGTTTTTGTGGGTAAGATTATAAGTTTTTCAGGGCTAGAATGAATACGAATCTATGCGTTATAAATACGTGACATATATACTCATAACTACTGGCGTCAAACTTAGCCATCATATCGCAGGAATACATATATAGTTGACGTATTCCAATGATACATTTGACGTATGCTAATAAATTTATATGATTCAGATGACGTATAATAATGAATTAATATGATTCAGTTGACGTATTCCAATGAATTAATATGATTCAGTTGACGTATTCCAATGAATTAATATGATTCAGTTGACGTGTTCAAATGAATTAATATGATTCAGTAGACGTATTTCAATGAATTAATGTGATTCAGTAGGTGTATACCAATAAATGTTTATTGTCAAATGTCAACTTTTCTAACCATCTGTAACACTCGGGAAATGACTAATTTGCAAATTTTACCAACGCTTATACTAAAATATTTATAACTCGTAGCATAGACAAATTACAGTTCTGTGAAATGAGTAATACTACTTTTTGGCTTGTCTCTATTGTTTTAACAGTACGCTAACCTTCGATAGTAGAAAATGTTCGTTCAGGATTTACAGAATATTTCTCTGTTTCAAAGAGAACCTGTTTATTATTATTTATGTGTCCTCAACAATACCTGTTTACTAGAAAGGGATTCTTTTTTCTGAATGATCTTGTTCTCACATGGTCTAAGTAGGGAATACAACATCCTTTGTCACAAATAGGACATTTTTGAGCAGCAACACTTCGACCAACGATTTCCAGATCAACAAGCTGGTAAACGCATAGTCATTGTACTGAATGAGCTGAGTAGGGGGCGTGTTGTTGAATGTAATATGTAGTTCACTGTAAAACATAGATGAATCAGGTGCACTTTCTGTCCTTCTACAAAATATGAGATTCGTAACACACATACACCAAATTCGCACTATTACTTCATTAGGGTATGGCAACCTAGACGCTAACTGTAGTAAACAGCCCGTTTGGGGAATTCAGTCCACAGACGTTTACTAGAACCTCGATAAGAAATAGGCTACTTACTTAGGCTATCGTAGCCAGTGAATTATATACTTCAAACGAAAAAATAGTTATCAAAATGTACAAAAATCCTTTTTTTTAATTCGTTCTACAGGAATTGGTTATGGATTGATTGTGAGTCCTGCATTGGGTGTCATTCCATTCTTTATCAAGAAGAGATATGCTCTAGCGAACGCATTATCAATTGTCGGAGCCGGAACAGGGACTTTCATATTCGTTGCTCTTATTCAGTTTCTGATTGACAGATACGGATGGAGAGGAGCGTTCATGGTATTCTCAGCTGTAAACGCTCATATGTTCATATCTGGATCTCTCTTCAAAGCACCACCCACGCAAAGGATAAATACCTCTGATGTAATCGTTGAACGAACTCGTGGAAAAAAGTGCTCTACACTACTGATAATCATCAAAGCTTTAGACCTGACATTATTTTCCCGTTTTCCTCTATTTACTTTGATGACTGTGGGTTTAGCATTTGGTATTGGAATGGGTTTCATGGGAACACCTTCATTTATAATTTCATACACAGAAAGCCTCAATCTTGCCGAACCCAGCAAACTCGCACTGCTGGTTTCTATTTTTGCAGGCACTGGTATAATCGGAAGGCTTTTACCACCAGTCATTCTTCACTGTAGTTGCAAGTGCCTTGACAGTTTTCGGTTGTTCGCTATTTGCATACTATTAGCAGGCATATCGACACTGGTCAGTCCTTTTTTAACAATGAGTTATGGAATCTATGTCATTTATCCGACTCTCCTGGGTCTATTTAGTGGGATGTTCTTCACACTATTTTCCCAGGTGATTAAGGATATCACTGGAGGACCAAACGTTACTGCTGGTGTTGCTTTGGGAACAATGATTACAGGACTAGGGGCGCTCATTGGTCCAACTGTAGCAGGTACGTCTTTATTGGCTTGTATCTTGTTAACATAGTCTCAACTAAGTATCGCACTCAAATTTAATTGTATAATTATTGACCATTGCTCTTAAATATCATTGATTTGATTTACTATTAATATGTGGTTTAACGTTGATTATCTTGTAGGTGTGATATACGATACATCCCGTGACTACCGATTCTCGTTTTATTTCTTTGGATCCTGTATGGTATTTGCTGGTCTTATCATGCTAACATTGGAACCATATGCCACACTAAGACAACACAAACTACAAAGGCATGGAGAGAACAACCAGGCATTTCATGGAGTCGATTTGGACTTCCAAAATATTGGTCTAAATCATGATGTTGCCACGCAGACAGGTGGTTCATTGTAACACAAATACTAATGGTGTTACTTGTGGCAGATGTGGGGCTGTATGAGAAGCATTGAGTCACTGGGCAATGTTACAAGACTGGGATGTCAATAAATGTGTGGAATTTAACATTTAGTCTCTTATTCCATTGTTACTAACTGATCATGCATTACTACAAAAATAATCGTTGTTAGTGTAAAACATAAAGACACAAAACCTTTTTGAACGGATTCTGATTACTGCATGACCAAGCACAGTACTTCATGTACAGCCATGGGTCACACTCATAATATACAAATGAGTGTTAGGGGAAATTATTATATAGACTATTCCATATACAGATGCAAGGAACATGTTATATAAACTTTTATTACGTACAAAGTTATACAACGTATGCAAATGTAAAAACATCGAAACATTAAACGAACAAAATGCTAAATATGTTATTATTGGTACATTAAATCAAACTAGGAATATCATGGAGATTCTTGTAGGGATAGACTGGCTGTCGCGTGATTAACATGGTCGACTCTTGCCTGACATAAACTTGTATGCCTTCCCAGTCGCATACATAGACACAGGCATAAGAATTTCCAAGTGGATGTTCTCCCACACAGATTCTATATATATTTCTTGTGTTATTACATTGTTTAGGTCCTTTTAGCGTCATCTAGGTGCCATATATTCGAAAATGAATGTAATATAATACTTGTATGTATCTATCTATCTATCTGTATCTTGTATCTAAGGATTCCCAATTTCAAGATATAATTTTGAATAATACAATGAATCTAGCGCCAAGACGCAAATGTTGTTGTTTGTGCATTCACAACCTTAAATGCAGAGATTCTTGTCCCGATAAGTGTACGTATAGGTCTTTATGAAGTGAATTGGTGTTTGTACATAAGTATGTCTCTGATTGAGCTCTGATTTCTATCTGGAAAGGTATGCCCTCAGAACAAGTATGTATGCTAAAGGTATCTGCAAAGACTGAGTTACACAGACAAATGGCAAACAAGTTGGCAAACTTTGGTATTGACCATATGGTTGACCAGTATGGTTGAAAGATGAAAAAAACGGAGGATCTAGACAACAGTAGACAACAATCGTAGTAATCACAACTGAGAAAGTGGCCAATTTTAGTTTGTCCAGCACATATGTAATTTACCAAGAACCAAACACAAGACTGGTAATCAAGTCGTAAACTCGTTGTGGTTCGTAACCAGTCTTGTGATTGGTTCTTGACAGATTCTGAATTGGCCACGCCTATTCAATTTGTGTAGTTTTCTTAAATTATTCTGCTGATAACGGTGATATAAAGGTATGTCTTTATAGAAATTTGAAAAAGCAACTAATGTTCTTCAAGCTGGTATTTTTTTTTTTATAGATTTTCATTCTTTTCGTCTGTTTTTTTGTTTCAGTTTAAAAAATATGGGCTCGCTGGAGCCTTCATCCCTCGTCTATTTTTACGCTAGATACCAGCCGATACTGCCCACCCACTCCGCATAGATAGAGACTAGGCGTCGAGTTGATTATAGTTCCTCGGCTCTCTGGGGTCGAACGAGGACAATATGACGTTACGGGCACGTAAAGCACATGTATATACTACCCAGTCTTTTCAGAGATGTACAGATAGATGTATTTCCATGTATATGGGGACAACTGTTACAGTAAATTCAAAGAGGCTCGTAGCAAACTACTAATAGCAGAAGGCAACATTTTCCTAGTGTTTTCGCTGTTCCTCTTTCCGGGGGATGTCCTATTACAGTGACGTCATTGAGCCAAATAATTTATCTTTGTTTGACCTGAAGAAAATAGCTGCCACTAGAATTACGTGCGATCTAACGACCTAAATCCTGGGTGGGGAAAACAACTTCAACAAAATGTTTGTCGAGGTTTTCGCCCAGGTGAGTGTTTAATAAACGAACAGTCGATTGGGGATAGCGTGATGATGTGATATGGGACGAAAGTGTACTTTTATTGACTTTCTTTGCGATGTCATTTGGCGTCGCATGTTTGTGTTAAGCAAATCTATGAGAGGAACCACAGCTCTGTGTCGATAAAAGTACAATATCCGAAAATAACAATTTTAAGGTCATAGAATGTACCATTTCAAATTCAAAAACTCCCGGGGATTGGGGGTACTTCCATAGTTAAGATACATGGTAATGCGGCGCTGTATTGACCCCCATTTTCGCGATCCATCCGGTCTTTCTGATTTTAACGAAGTTTAGGCAATATTGGAACCAAAAGCGCTCTCGACGTCATTCTTTTGAGGTCCGGTTTCACAGATTGATTCAGTTTTCGAAGTTTTGGCCATTTATTGTACAGTCCGTATTTCAGACTTTGTGGATGTTCTGAGTTTTAAATACATAGACTGAATGAATCCGTAGCAAATCAGTATATGTTATCAGCAAAAGAAATTAAAAAAAGGAAGTTGTTTCAATGTTTTATCTTCGTTGGCAATGTTTTTATTTTTAAATTTATCATAAATTCCTATTTAATATTTTGTGTATGAGATCCAAATTAATAAGAACTGGTTTATTTCATCTATGGATAATAATTAATTGCCAACTAGACAATCCGATCTGCCAATCATGTTCCGTCGAGATTACACCAAATTCCTATTTTCATTTTCCTCGTTTCCAGTTTGGTGAACCAAACCTATGTTGAAATGTTGCACTTGACTGTAAATCAAATATTAGTCTATATTTCACATCAGATCGCCCTCAGTAAATTGTAGCTGAATCATTGATAACTTTGCTTCACTTTTGCCAAAATTGCGTTATCGTCACAAAATAAACCAAAATTTTAATTTTCATGCAAAAAAGTCTATAATGTCATTTGAAATTGTTAAAAATGTGTCTGTGTTTCAAACGGTATACATCATCGTATCTAGGGTGGGGCATGTAATTATATTCGGCGACGCGGCATAGGGCATAGAGAATTGATACAACGTGTCAATGATATATCATAGAAAAAGCTGAATGTAATTCCAACAAGGAACTTTAGTTCGAATTAAACCAGTTCGTGGTACATGGCGGCCATTTGTTTATTCTATTGTATAATGCATTAACGAACTCGAGATTTGGGCAAAGTGCCAAATGTTGATGCACACGTTTTCTAAAACACCAATATTTTTCTGTTTTATTTATTACAACAAAACAAACATTTACATTTTTGAAATTAATGCCCGCTGAGGTGCATCCAGTGGCCATTCGTTTATTTGATTTTCGTTTATTAAAGGACGCCACCACGCGGTCACTGACAGTTACGCTCACTCTGATATTGGGAAGTGCGCGTTTATAGGCCCCCGGGCTATGTATGTTTTTTCAAGATTCTGGGTATATATATTCTGGGTATTGAGTCTTGTTCACTGTCCATGTAGGTATAAATTCATGGTATAAATATCTGACAGATTCAAGTTGTAGCTGACCGTGGATCTATATACAAGAATCGAATTATCGCGCAAATATCGTTAAATTGTTCCAATCACCAATGCCACGTCTCGGCAAATTAAATGAAATTGAAACCACTGTAGTTACTGTAGAAATGTTTGTCATTATTTGATATATAAATGCGTAAAAAAATACACGTGGGTATTACAATACAATTCATGGGATTATAATTGTGAAGGCTCAGTGTCAGTACAGCCCATCCGTGGCAATTTTATAATTCTTTCTTAAATCCTGTTCCGATACAATTTTTTCATAGCAATTCGTAGAAATAGAACTCAGCCTGGGAGATTGGTTACCGGCCTCTTGTGACTTGGTACGCCATGACACTTTAGGCAGGAACCAGCCAAAATCGTGCCCCAGCAGTGTTAAAGTACGCCATCACCGGCTGTTTTAAAAACTGCAATAGTCTTGACGTCATCATATTGTGTGCACACATTCCTGAACTCGAAGCTGTCCCAGTCAGCTGAGTGTTGTGTTGCTCAGCGGTTCTTCGACAAAATTGGCGAACGTTTATGTATGATTTGTGTTTAAAATGCAGCTTAAACACATGAAAACATTGCTGACCCCTCAGGTATGTACCAATACAATTCAACGTCAATTATTTTGAAGCAATTCGTCGTGTTTTGTGTTCGATCGACACTCAGTTACATTCAAAAATATCCCCGCCAGCCGCCATCATTTTAAATAGTTTATTATCGTCATAGTAACAACACAGACATTGTTTTGGGGGATTTTAATAAATTCTTTTCTATTTTTTACTATTTTATTTCATTAACAATTTGGTAACCATCACCATCGATGATAACCAGTCAGTCTCAAGTCAATTTCATGTGTAACAGTGCAAGTTTAAATACAAGTTCACAATATTTAATATTATCAGTAATAATTTATAAATCCTTGGTATTTATTCTTTATAAATCCTTGATTTATAAATCTTTGGTATTAATATAAAAATTTGGGGTGATTTAAACCTTTTTTCAACAAAGCAGTAGTGAGGTTTTGTGCACCTTGGAGAAGGTAGCAAACTATTTAAGATAAATTTGTCAATAATGGTGTTAAAAAAAAAATCATACTTGCCTCTCAGGCTTCAGTTTTCAAATGATGACAAATACTACATTTGCTAAACCATAATTTTCTCTGAATGTTTAAAAATATTATATTTAAAATTTTTGTTCTTTTTTTACTAAACAATTTGTATTAATTTCTTCCAAATATTTTATATTTCCTTGTGTACTCGCATACGTGTCGCCACTCACAAAGCTTAATATTAAAGCGCGGTAGTCGTCGCGCTGCGCTTGTGCGAGATATATGGGTCTCATATAAACAAAGATGGCGACTTTGACTGTTGCGCAGATCAACAGTACGAACTGAGACGTTTCCAAGCTTTAATTAGGTAATTTTCATGTTATTCGAAGGTATCAAAGAGTCACCGGCGGTAATCAGTGCAAGTCGCGCCCAGGTCAAACCTCATACTTGTGATTTCCATTTGAAGAATGCATTGGATTGTGAGAAAATCAATGTTCATCAACACAAATGTCACACATGCGCAGCGCGATGACTACCGCGCTTTAACTATTAAACTGGCTTGTTCAAAATTGTATATATTTACTATAGTTGAAAGCGAGTTACTATTCAGTGCACCGGATGACAATTTTATATGGCTATAGAACTACCTTAAGTGCAGAGTACTGTAAATACTTATGCTTGATGCAGTTTGGACTACCCATCATGTAAACTAAGATAAAAATGAAGTTTTATAGCATTCTATAAAGAAACCCATTTGCAGTACCCAGTAACTGAAAAGTACCTGAAATCACATGCAGTCACATTAAAGTTTTTGTGTGTAAAGGTACTTTCAGGTTTAAAAGGTGTTTGAGGGCTAATGTGTGACAGATTTAATGACATAAATATGTGTCAATTGTGCTTTTTTCTGAAAGCTTCAAATTTCGATGATTTTCAGTGTGTAGAAATGTTTATGATCATTTTGGCTTCCAGTGATTTGTTATTTTGTTCTCTATTTTATTTAATTGTCAATAACTTTTGGTTGTGTTCCAAAGTGTGTTGATTGACAATGATTCACTATTGCAGTTTTGGGCAATTCTAAACGTGGGGAAATCATAAAATATCTTCTGCATTCACAGCATATGTTGATACTATCAAATACAAATCATAGGCCAAATACACCAATTAACCATAAAAGTATTCCTTCAGATTATGCAATATTAACAATTTATATTTCAATTTCATTGCCCTCTTATATAATGTCATTAATATAGGATGGGGCAGCCAAGATCACAGCTATAGCCTGGGCACCTAATAACAACAAATTAGCTGTGTGTACGGTGGATAGGGTCATTTTATTATATGATGAGAATGGTGAGAGAAGAGATAAATTCTCAACCAAACCAGCCGATGCAAAGGTATGTATATTGTACATGTTAAACATATGTTTTTAGGTAGCATCTTTTTTCAGCTAATTTAGCCAATCTGTAATTTAGCTAATTCAAGATATTGCTATTATGGAACTCCAGTGGAAAATAGAAACTGCCAAATATGTACAGATGCTGTTGAAGATGAGACTCATTTTCTGGTAGTTTGTCCAGCATATAACCATATTCTAAAACCAATTTTTGATTGAATTAACTGCATTAAACCACAATTTGAGCTTCTGTCGCCTATCAGTAAACTTATATATATTTTTTCTTGGGATAATCATGAAATCATCCAACTTCTATTCTGCTGCTGGAGAAAAATAAAAGTGTGGAATAAATTTTAGCCTAAGATTGGTATATTGAGGGCAAATTAGAAGCATGTGATATTCATTTTCAATTTGATTACAACAAAATGGACAAAACCTCAGTTCCAGTGGAACCCCCGTTCCTCTCCCAGTCTCAATATTTAGGTCATATGTAGAAATTCTAAAACAAGACAGCGCCCTTCTATAAGTACGGTAACATTTGAAATACATTCTAAATACTTTTCTCTAGTCATATTACATTTAAATTTACAGTATGTATGCATTTTGGAATACCCTGCAACCCTAGTAAACCATTCTTGCACAGAAATATCAAAACTTCGTTGTTTAAATTCGTATAGAAAGAGGTCATAATTAGCCACCTGTTGTTTTACCCATACTTCACCAAAACCATATTTACTTAACAAGTTTTTGACGTACAGTGCCCAGCAATTTAACTCCTGGTTTGCCCGAGTATACTGGTATTGATAACAATCTCTAACAGTTTCTGGGAAGTCTAGGTTTATACATTTCAACCCAAAACAAATTATTTCAATGTTAATAAATGTATGTATTTGGTGTCTACCTAGCTCCCCCCTGACAGCACAATTTGTGGCTTTCAAATTAACCCCCAGAATAAATTTACAAAATTTATGGTGAATTTTTCAATATCATTACATTTATGGACTCCCCAAATTTTACAATCAAAAACTTTAAATGCAATACTTGGTTGTAATCCCCCAAATTTATAAAGCATACTTTGTAGGGAATATAAAGCTTTCCTTGCCTGATCTACAATATGTTTTTGTGCTTGGTACCAGATACCCGAACTGCAGAAAATTACACCGAGATAATTGTATCTTCAGACAACTTCTATTTCTCCTCCTTTCCAAAACCATTTCTCAATTTGTATTAATCTCCCTCCCTTCCAAAATACAATATTATTCCTAATGTGGCTGTTGTTAGCAAAGCAAAATTACCAGTAGTACATGATGTATTAAATTTTTGTTGTAAAAAAGGAAATGATTCATTATTTGTTGAACAGTTTCCTGAAGACCGTGTTTGACTATATTTTTGGAGCCATGAAATCTTTTCAAGCAGTGTCACCGTGCTGCTTCGATTTTTGGAGAGTCAGAAAAGTCTGTTCCTACAAATGTTATCAAATCCTAAAAATTAAGAATTAAAAATTGTATTTATACCTTCAGTGTTTTACCCATTAATAATTTGTGTATTAATTGACTTGTCCGCCTTGTTTAAGGGACGACGTCAAAAGATCAATGTCGGATAAAAAACTTAATTCCTTTAGTTTTTTTTCAAACCCCCCTACCCCCCACTGAAACTTAATTGATAAATATTGGTCATGGTGTCAGACTACATTCACCATTAAATACAAATTGATAATCGGACAGTGCATAGCAGTTGGTTGTCGGGTGGGTGTAAAAAGATTTTACAAATGCACCTCATTTGACGCACAAATTTACACTCGAACCAAACCATTTTTCTGTTGTTTTTCCCTTTTCGGTTATTTCTGTCCATGATTGGATAGAAAAAAAAACGAACTACAAATACTCCAAGATTTTTTTGACTTCATTAAAAAATAAAATCGTTTTTGTAAGATGGAAACTTTTTGAGGTCAAAACCCCCCCACCCCCAAACTAAAGGAAATAAGTTTTTTTATCCGACATCGATCTTTTGACGTCGTCCCTAAGTGGATCGTTAATTGTAAATCATTTTGATTATTTCTAATACCCAGTATGGAAAGAAGAGTTATACAGTAAAAGGGCTGGCATTCTCACCCGATTCTTCCAAGATTGCTGTTGGTCAGACTGATAATATTATATATGTGTATAAGATAGGTGATGACTGGTAAGTGAGTGAACTCTGCATTCACCAGTGCTTTGAACTTCTCAGAGAAATTCCTTTCATATTTACACTATACATTATATTTACATCATACATTACTCTTACATGCTAAGGCCATATCAGTTTTAGTCTTGAAAATTGGTGGACTCTCAAATCTGGGTTAATTAACATAAACCTCTGCTTGTGATACATGCACCATACACCATACTTGCTCTACTGGATGTGCAAATTATGTATTTTCTTTTTGTCTTCTTCCCAACAATTTTAAAAGAGAGCATTTCTGATGATTACCAACTGTCAAATTTGCTCTATTAGTAATAAATGTACTTATGAAAATATCATAAACAAGTTAGCATAATTGTTTCAGTATGAGTTCAGTAAACTTAAAATCTCACCAAAACAAACCTTTTGGTTTAGATGCACTGCTAGTGAAGATGAGCTTCTGATACAGCATATATAGTACATTAAAATAAAACGGTTGTTCTCATTGAGACCCTTTGTGGAAAATATAGTTTTGGAAAGGTATTAGTGACATTAAATGTTTTCAGCTATTTCCTGTGACAAAAGTAAACAAAAAAGATGTTTGCCATTTCAGTTTAGATCCATGAGAACCAGTGAAATTGTGTTCATGGTAATTTTCAGTACAGACATAACCTTACTGGTATTGAATTGATTGAACATTAAACACAAATACAGCAGTGGATTATGATCTGTTTCTAATAAGATGTTATTTTTGACTTTTTAGGGGTGAAAAAAAGGTTATTTGTAATAAATTTGTACAACAGAGTGCAGTGACCTGTATGCAATGGCCGCCTGATAATTCTATCGTATTTGGACTGGCTGATGGTAAAGTACGTATTGCTAATGTGAAAACTAACAAATCATCTACTGTCTATGGAACGGATTCATTTGTGGTCTCATTGGCTTCAAAGTAAGTATTAAAGTCACTTAGTATTATGGTCTACTATTCTGTATTTACTGTTACATCTATTACAATACATTGTACATTATACACAAAACAAAGAGACACAGCGTAAATGCAAATTTCCTGAATTTTGGATAAAGAAAAACAATCAAAAGATAAAGACACTATTATAGCTATTATACAGTACATGAACAAACAAAAGAATACGCTCAGTCACACTTATTTAACTTTTTATTTACTCAACTTTTGCTTACTTACTTTTTTTTAGTTATTCATTATTAACTTTATTACATTTTAAACACCAAATTAGAAATGTTGGTTGTACATGGTTGTAATAAAGCTGTTATCTATCTATTAAATACCATCTCTATCACAAATGAGAACAGTGTATTACTATTAATGTTTTTGACACATGTTTCAGATGTTTATTTTTTGTTTATGATTCTCAGATGACCAACTTCTCAAGGTTTTGACATTTCACAAATAAATATATTTTAATATTACATTATACATGTACATTACAATGTTACTTTCAGTGTATCTGTTACGTAGTGTGACATAAGATCTACTAATCCAAAGTGTATTTACCATATACCATAACTTTAAGCCAATTGCTATTTTACATTTCCAATATAAATTACAAATTGTTTTTTAATTTCACAGTGCATCTGGTAAAGGTGTTCTATCTGGCCATGCTGATGGGTCTATAGTACGATATTTCTTTGAAGATGAAGGTACCGGTGAATCGCAAGGTAAAATCTGTACACATAGCTGCCCACCATATGCACTGAGCTGGGCAGGTAACTCCATTATGGCAGCCGGGTGTGACAAACGTATCATTGTTTACGGCAAAGAAGGACGCATTGTACAACAGTTTGATTTCACACGTGACCCCGAGGAACATGAGTTCACCACGGCAGCTAACAGTCCAAGTGGACAGAGTGTGGTTATAGGCAGTTATAACAGGTCAGTGACTATATACGGTAATCATTAACATAAATTGATCACAGTCAATCAGTGATGGCTATAAATTATAATTATACAACATTTATTACAGATTGAGAGTTTTCAACTGGGGACCCCGAAGAGGAATGTGGGAAGAAGCCAAGATGAAAGAAATCCCTAATTTGTACACGATCACTGCATTGTCATGGAAAAAGGATGGATCAAGACTTGTTGCTGTAAGTGTCATTCTACTTTACATTATGATAGGAGAATGTCATCGTCTTCTTCAACCTTGTGAACATCAACAACTTTCAATAAATTTTTTATTATTTTTTTGTAATAAAGAATTTATGTTGTGTGAGTGCAACTGATATTTCTAGTAAAAATATGGATGTCTGTAAAAATATGTAACTATTGAATTCTGTATTATCTTGCATTGTTTACATGTATACATTGATAGGGTACTTTATGCGGTGGTGTGGAATTATTCGATTGTTGTTTGAGACGCTCTATCTACAAGAACAAGTTTGAAATGACGTACGTTGGTTTAAGTCAAGTCATTATCAAGAATCTTTCCTCTGGTACGAGAGTTGTATTGAAGTCTCACTATGGTTATGAGGTAAGCCATTTTTTTCCAGAAATAAATACTCAAAAAATTATTTATAAGCCAAACACCTCAGTTGTATGTATGCATGTGACATCACTGATTCTAACCAAAATGAGTGTATTCATTTTTTTCTATGAGTTGCCCACAAAGTTTTATTATGTCTGATAAAAAGGCTGCAAATAGACCCTGAGATCTTGTTGAAAGCAAGTGAGCCCTGCAACTTATTTTCGCCCCCCCCCCCCTCCCCCTCCCCCATAGTGTGTTGCATTCTCTATTGCCATCACATTGACTGTTCCAAATCAGGCAAACATTAGTTGACTACGATGGTGGCAGAAAACGAAACACGATTTGGGATGCAAGAACCAATTTCGTTGGTCTCTTGCTTTCAATGAGACCTCCACTGCTATTTGCGAATAAGGTCACACTTTTTCAATAGTTACACCAGGACATGCTTACAAAAGCAAGAACACAATTATATTTGTACTTTTCAATTTGATCTACCACTTTCTTTCTGATTTTCCAATCTGCATGAGAGCACATAACAACAAATAACATACTTCAAAACTTACTTGGTATTTTTTCAGTGATTTTTGTTGCATTAATTTTACACTCACTTAAACATCAATTTATACCTATTTTTGCGTAATTCTGCTTATATCCTGAATTCACACTGCCCACTTAGGTCTAAACATAGTACACAAACAGCTGTGTTCTAGCACATCAGTGAAAATTGTTCTGTGTCGTCGTCCAAAGCGACTGACTGACAGCCATTTTGTTTTATATTTTGCCAAGATAGATATATACATGTAGACTAATACAAGTTGTCTTGCAGTCAAAGATATTTAATTTAATTCGCCTTGTAGAACTTGAACATGGACAGCACTTTTACTAAAATAAACATAAACATTGATAAGTTAGATGGTTGTGGCATGCTCAATTACTTTATTTTCTTCTTATTCAGATTGACGAAGTCAAGATTCTAGGTAAAGATCGTTATTTAGTTGGACATACATCTGATACACTGTTACTCGGTGACTTGATTACGAATAAACTAAGTGAGGTACCATGGCAGAATACAGGCGGGAATGAAAAATTCTTCTTTGAAAATGAAACTGTAAGTAGAGTTTATTTTTTTCGATTTTTTATCTTGTAATTACTGACAGAGAGTTCATAATTATAATTATTGTGTTTTTTTTATATTCAAAGTACTTCAGTATTTTACATTGTTGTATTCATCGCATGTGATCCATATTAAACATAGCGTGGTGTGATGACTATAGCATGGTAAATTCAATTAAATTACAAAGTAGAATTGCTTTTTATTATATACTGAAAAATTAAAATTCCTGTTATTTATTTCATCTTGATAACAAAATATATTAAAATGAATTATCATTACACATTACTTTGAAATACAAACATTTTATGAACCAAAAGTAAATTGGTATGAAAGACTGAGTGAGATGTTGTTTGTTTTGTAATAACTCTGTAGGTGTGCATGATATTTAATGCTGGTGAGTTATCATTGGTTGAGTATGGAGCTAATGAAGTGTTGGGATGCGTTAGAACTGAGTTTATGAACCCACATTTGATAAGGTAAGTGTAATTTTACCTTACATTATGATGGCGAAGCATTGTTGTAATTGTCTTCTTCAACCTTGTGAACATTAACAACTTTCAATCAAGGTACTGGTATGCACAATATCATCATAATCACCATGGCTACCTCAGCCACCATATGCTACTTATCTGTATAGTCTTTTTTACAGTAATGCTGTTTATTGAATGTTCTTTAACACAGCGCCTGCTGAATCTTTTTTTTATACAATCGATATCAGCAATTCATGATTATTCATGGAGGCTATCTGCAGTTGATGTGTATTAATATATGTCATTTATGGTTAATATTTTGACACAAAATCCTATAAGATTCCTTTAGAACAAATTCCAATAGGATTCCTATAATATTTTGACACAAAATCCTATAGGATTCCTATAGGACACATTCCTATAGGATTCCTATAATATTTTGACACAAAATCCTATAGGACTCCTTTAGAACAAATTCCAATAGGATTCCTATAATATTTTGACACAAAATCCTATAGGATTCCTTTAGGACAAACTCAAACTTTTGTAAGGATGACTATCCATGGATGCTTTCTGCAGTTGATATGTATTAATATATGTCATTTATGGTTAATATTTTGACACAAAATCCTATAGGACAAATTCATATAAGATTCCTATAATATTTTGACACAAAATCTTATAAGATTCCTTTAGAACAAATTCCAATAGGATTCCTATAATATTTTGACACAAAATCCTATAGGTTTCCTTTAGAACAAATTCCAATAGGATTCCTATAATATTTTGACACAAAATCCTATAGGATTCCTATAGGACACATTCCTATAGGATTCCTTTAATATTTTGACACAAAATCCTATAGGACTCCTTTAGAACAAATTCCAATAGGATTCCTATAATATTTTGACACAAAATCCTATAGGATTCCTATAGGACAAACTCAAACTTTTGTAAGGGTGACTATCCATGGATACTTTCTGCAGTTAATATGTATTAATATATGTCATTTATGGTTACCTTCTTTTCAGTGTTCGTTTAAACGAGCGTAAACAGTTAAATGTTGAAGATAATAAAAAAATGGCATATCTAGTTGATTTGAAGACAATCTCTATCATGGATCTTATCATGGGATTTAACATGGCTACTGTGACACATGACTCCAAGATTGACTGGTTGGAATTGAATGAAACTGGACATAAATTACTGTTTAGAGATAAACGTCTCAAGGTAAACATGCATCAGAAAACTCAACATGGATAGGATTGCTAGAGCTATGACCATCACACTTCTGTGTATAAAGCCCTAGACATAAACAGACCTAGTGTTGTCACTTGTATAATCTGTGATGCATTACATAAATTGAGCCACAGTAGAATAATAAATAATGCAATATTAATGATAATGATAATATATTTTTTATAATAAATAAATATGGTTCAGGGGCCAGGAACTAGATTAGTTCCATTGGTCCTCACCAGAAAAACTTTTTTTTTTCTTTCACATGCCTTGAGATTCATCTACATTTCTTTTCTGGTGAAATCAAAAAACAAAATTCAAATCTACAGCACTAGCTTATTAGATAAGATGTTTTTATGCAAAATATGGTGTCAGCTAGCTCCACCTATAATGTAGCTCGGTCATGCTATCATATGTACATGTATACAATTAACACTAGACCAGCAGTTGCCAATAATCTTATATCAAGGCAGAACCTGGAGCACAAACGTTAGTTTTTAAAAACAGCCATGTCCATTGCAGGAACACAAGTAGTTTAGAACGGAAGCTTAGTCAATCGGATAATATTATTATTTTTAAACACAAATATTTAAAGAAAAATTTTTTTGGAGGGCTAGAGGGAAGATAAGTGAAAACTTACTATGTTACTCTCATTAAATAAAGTGTATTATTGTCATGTTTTTAGTTTTCAACTTCATATTAAAGTGAGAGGGTTGTCACTTGCGTACACGCAGGAATTGAGTCCCAAGCGACGATAACAACACGCGCTAAAAACGCAAAGGCTCATGGGTAGACGCTTGTTTGTAAACAATGACACACTATGGCCATCTGACGCATGTGCAAGTGACGACTCCCCCGCTTTAAACAATTTAGCGTGATCAAAGGAACCCTATAGAGTAGGACACAAATAATGTAATGTGATGTGTAATGAATGTCTGAATATAGATAGCAAAACATTAGAGTTGAATCACGCTTAACGACAACAACTTTGTGATGAGGATATATTGTATTGTATATTACAGCTTCACCTGTATGATATTGACACTCAAACCAAGACGACCATCCTTAACTACTGTACTTATGTTCAGGTAAGTTCAGAGAATTATTTACCAATCACTGAAATGAAAATGAAAAAAATAATCATTTTAAAAATTACAGCATGGCACATTATGTTATGAAGGTTTCTAATAATTTCTCTATTGTATCTAATAAGTTTCAATTGAATTCTTGCTAAGTCAGGATATCGGCTAAGTTGTGGTTAACTGAATAGCTTCCAAAAAATCTATTTTTGAAAGAAAATAGCGACCTATTCGCTGCATCACATTTATTGTTCCAGGTTTTAAATTCACTAGTTTGTGAAAGAAACTATACATTCTTATTGTTAACTCTGTTATTCTCTTGGTTTTAATTTAGCACATTTAGGTATCAGCGAAAATAACGATTCCGTGGTAATAAAATCCAGCAAATAATTGAGCCCTACCGGTATATAGTATTCCATTGGTACCTGATATTGTATTCTGTTAATGTAAACTGTGTAATGATTTTATTAATTGAAAATCAAATGTAATATCAGTACTGACAAAGGTTGCTCAGTAAGAATTATGATGTTGGGCATTATGATAATAAGCATAACAAACAGAAAATTCAGCTTATCACGATCCATGCCATGGCACACACACTGGCATTACCGTGTTTAACAATACGTAGACAGGGACAAGGTGTAAAATGTAATCAGCTATTTTATTCATCCGTAATTTGTACAAAGGTCTCATTTTTTGTAAGCGTATAAAGCATTTTTCACATTAAATGTCGTAATTTGTACGCAATTTTCAATTTTGGATCTTAAACACAAATTATCAAATATATTATAAAATTGTAATTAAGATTATGATTTATCTGTAAAGTGTAAAAACCCATTTTTTACTGTAAATGAAACTTTCATTTTATTTTCTGCAACCTGTACCAGGTATCCCAACATAAATATCCCAGTGTACAGTGTTATGATATTGTCTTGATTTTTCTTTGCAGTGGGTTCCACAAAGTGATGTTGTCGTTGCTCAGAATAGAGGTAATCTGTGTGTGTGGTACAACATTGATTCACCTGAAAGGGTCACCATGTTTCCAATCAAGGTCAGTGTATGTTTCTTCCTGGTTGGAAAATGTTTATTTATGTCTCGTACAAACACTGTCTCCATGTCCATTCAGCAACAATGTAGCAGAAATATAATCACTGAGTGCAGATTATTATGCGGGCATGAATCTTGCAGACATTTCACTTTGTCATCTTAGTTTCCTAATAAATTATGACTACCATAAAATACAATGTACCGGTACCTTATTTTAGCTGGAATTAATTTTCGCTGAAAAGACATTTTGGGTGTTTTTTATGGAATTTATTTTCACTGATTTCTGATGAGTTGAATGTAAAATATAGGAAAAAAGGTATATTTCCTTGATTTTATTTCCACTGAATCATCCCTTCAGTGAAAATAGCGAAAATACATTCCAAGCAAAAATAAAGTATTTTACAGTATGACTTCTAAATGGTAAATTAAACTTACAAGAATATGTAAAATTACAATTACCATACTTGCTCTATTAGAAGTGCATGTAAATCCAAAATTCATTTAACTCTGACAAGCTCCATTACATAACTTGTCCACATAAGGGTTAGTCACCATAGAAACACATCTGTAATTTACGTGATCATATGCAGTATACATTAATGTGAATACATTATTCATTATGAATCTTTTCTATATGATAGGGTGATATTGTTGATTTAGACAGAGTTGAAGGTAAGACTGATGTCATCGTAAATGAAGGTGTAACTACTATATCCTATACATTAGACGAAGGCTTGATAGAGTTTGGTACTGCTATTGATGATGGTGATTATTCTAGGTAAGTACATCTAATTGATAATCTAGTTGATAATTGTGTAGCGAAGCTGACTGATGATTGAAATGGCTTTTCAAGATTTTTTTTGCCAAATTTTTCCCACAGTCTGGATGTTTCAACCTCATAGATTCTGGTACATGTCCTGTGCTTATTTCATGTCAGTGTCATCTTCGCAATTTATTTTACTCAATTTACATTTCGTATTTGTTGCAAGCTTGCAATAGTTTCACTATGTTCTATATTTTTTTTCATTCAACATATGATAATGTGTTAGAAAAAATTGAATGATGAATGGAATGCATGTCGAGGTTATTGAATGTGATACATTACTTTAAAGGGCAGTGTCCATATAGCACTGTCAACCTTTGCATTTTGTGTGAATACTTCATGATTATGTAATGGCCATAGCGCTATGATAATATTTAAATTCAGTTGTATAGAACCCATGTATAATACAACAGCTGCCTCTCTTAGGTAATGAGTACTTATATTCGGACGAAAAAACTTTGTAGTGATTGCAAACAGCATGGTGGACAGACCAAGTATGGAGGATCCCAACTTGTTGCATACTGATATTGGTTTCTGTTTTCTAGAGCTGTTGCTTTCTTGGAAACACTTGAAAAGTCTAATGAGACAGAAGCCATGTGGAAGACACTGAGTAAACTTTCCTTGGAAGCCAAACAGTTGCATATTGCTGAGAGATGCTATGCTGCTATGGGTGATGTCAGCAAAGCTAGGTATCTGAGGAGTGTGAATAAAGCAGCGGAGAATGCAAAGAAAGAAATTGTAAGTTTGGTGTTTATTATGATTTCAATGTTTTACTAATACTAGAAATGATTTACAGCAAGTCTCAGAAGTATTGGGGCAGCCAATTTGCAAACTCGCCAGCGAATTGGCTAACTGCTTGGGTTTTGACTAAACGGTTGGCTTTCGAATCTCGCTGGCGCCGTCTTGTGGTCACGCCCACTTAAGGCGAATCTAAATAGCAGTAGGGGACGATCCTCATACTTTAGGAGCTATTCGGCAACGGTCTTACAGTTGGATGGCGATTTTGCTTTCAAATATACCAGGGCAAATGTTCTATGCTCTTCCGTGTCCACACAAAAACGACGAATGAGGTCGATTCTTTCAGCGGTTGGATTAATGTTACCCAAACGGATCGTTTGAGTGTGAAAGTTTGTTATTTTCTCCCTGATTTGTAGGAAACTGTTTCTTAACTTGTCTATTTAGTGTCAAGCAGTGTTCAAGAAGTTAACCTCATATAATAAATATCGGTAGATTAATCACATTTATAATATTATCACGCCAGCTGACTGTGGCCATTTTCGGGCTCAAATCGTTCAGAGGAATCCAGACAT